GATTTATTAAATATTTACGTGAACATCACCGTTCAAAAGTTATTTTCTCACCACACATTTAGGCAATCTTTTTCTAATAGTTCTGCTTAACGGATCGTGATGATTTTGGTATTGTGAGATTCCTATCCATGTTTAGTTTATTGGAATTATTGCAAGGAAACCCACTAGACTCCCACATTCTTGGTCCTGATAGTAGGAGGTGTGAAAGTTATTTCACCAAGTATTTCTTTATAACGCAGCCGCATAATGGATCCCGACGATTTCGGTATTGTATTCCTCTCACGATCTACAATGCAAATATATATATTATATTGTGTGGAGGCCCCCTAACTCCCACCCTTTTGGCCCCTAAAGTAGGGCAGGGTATGAACGGTATCACAGAAATTTTTGGGGAAAATGTAAATAATAATCACAGAATCAGTCACTATATTCTCTAATAAAAGTGGATGTGCCCCCTGCGACCACCCATGGGGGGCTGCTGCCCCTAACCACCGCCTAGGAAAACTTAAAAAATACACCTATTCACGATAGGAGACAGTGTTGGACAGACTTGACAACACTTCTATCACATAGTGGTTGTACACTCATGCCGTGAATACATTTAGGATTCTTTGTTTTCCTGAGCGGTGGTGGAGGGCACAGTTTCCTGTATTATACAATATAGTCACTCATTACATGTATATTATTTACATTTTACCTGTAATTTCCCTGATACCTTCCATGCTCTCCCTTGCAATTAGGGTCAAGGATATTGGGTTTGGGGGCTTCAGTGAATAAAATACTGAGTGAGTTACCACCGCATAATTTCAGTATGGTAGTAGAGATTAAGAGAATTCCATTGTTTATGTATCTATATCTATCTATATAGAGAGGTAAATAAATAATATATATCTGTTTAGTTGTATAGTCTGCTGCTTATTGATTCCATCCTGTTCATTACACATACATTATGAATTGTAGGTAAAATGCAGCAGTGTAGTAGTGATGATCTCTCTGTCACCAGTTAGTGTAAGTGCATTTAGTGTCGATGACACTAAATACACTTACAAGGATTCTTTTATTTCTAACGATGTAAATATTGGTTTGAAATATATGTATATCAGCTAGACAGTTCATTATTTACATCATTTAATAATCTAATACAAATGTATTTCAATTACTAGGTCGAAGGATGATTCACGAACACAATTTTTCTAGTAACCCAAGAGGACATTCACGAAATAAAGGAAGGATTCAGTGACCGTGGGATGCCTAGAGTCATAGGTGTGATAGATGTTACCCGTATCTGAATAATTGCGGCAAGGGAAAATGAGGCTGACTATGTGAACCGAAAGAGTTTTCACTTAATCAACACTCAAGTAGTTTTTGATACAAACTACTTGATCAGGGACATTATTGTCAATTGGCCAGGCTCAATACGTGATAGCAGAATCCTCCGAAACCTATTTAGGGAAGGCAGAGTTCCTCCAAGGGAATGTGTCTTATTTGGGGATTCCGGCTACCCATTAAGAACCTGGCTATTGACGCCATATCTTCATCCAAATGGTCCTCATCTAATATCATACAACAGGTAAATTCGAATTCAGCTCATAATACTGTTTATATCAAATATCTTGTCATGATTTTTTTTTTTTTTTTTTTTTTTTTAAGCATATATTGTGATATTTCTTTCAACAATTTCAGAATGCACAAGAGAGTCCGCTGACAGCGATACCTCCTCCAGATGATGATGGTGATAATGATGAAGCTATGGATGATGTGGTTCCTGTTGTAGCAGAAGACCTACGGATGGAAGTGCGTGTCAATCCTAGACGAGGAAATACAGTAAGAGCTGCAAGATTTAGACAAAATATGTTGACATGTACTTCAAGTATTGTTAAACAAATTATATAATT